TTCAACATCACTCAGGAGAAAAACATTAAAACCATATGAAGAAAACAAGAAAGATCTTAAATCAACAACCTAACTTAACAACCTAAGGGATGAGAAAATGGAGAATATACTAAATCCAAAACTATCAGAAGGAATGAAATAATAAGGATTAAAACAGAGATAAATGAAATAGAGAAAATAAAAATAGAGAAAATTAATGAAACCAAAATCTGGTTCTCTGAAAAAACAACAACAAAACTGACAAATCTTCATCTAGATGAATCAAGGAAAAAGAAGGCTCAAATTACTAATATCAGAAATGAGAAAGAATGAAATCTGGCCATGTGCAGCAACATGGATGGACCTTGAGGGGGTTATGCTGAGCGAAATAAGTCAGGCAGAGAAGGAAAAATATCATATGTTTGCACGTATAGGAGGATTAGGAGGAACTTGACGGAGGAACAAGGGGGAGAAGAAGGGCGGAAATGGTGGGGGAAAGGGAGAGAGGCAAACCATGAGAGACTCTTGAATGCTGACAAAAACTGAGGACTGATGGATGTGGGGGGGAGGGGGGAATGGGCATGAAGGAGGGCACTTGTGGGGATGAGCACTGAGTGTTATGTGGAAACTAATCTGACAATAAACTATTTGTAAAAAAAAAAAAAAATGAAAATGGGGACATCAATATCTATTCTGCAGAAATAAAAAGGATTATAAAAGAGCACTGTGATTAAATGTATGCCAAAAAATTGGATAAACAAAAGCAATGGATAAATTCTTAAAAACATAAAACCTATCAAGACTAAATCATGAATTAACAGAAAATCTGAGCAGACCCATCAATAAGAGATTGAATCACTAATCAAAACTCTCTGCTTCAAAAAAGCCCTTGCCCTGGACCTGATGGCTTCACTGGCAAATTCTACCAAACACGTTAAATAAAAAACAAAAAACAAAACAAAACAAAAAAAACACACCTAACACCAATCCCTTTCAAACTTTTCCAAACACTTAAAGAGAAGAAACTACCCTTCCTAAGTCATTCTATGAAGTCAGCATTATTTGATACCAAAGCCAGACAGACACTACAAGAAAACTAAAGGCCAGTATCTTTGATGCAAAAATCCTCAACATGATAGTGACGAACTGAATGCAATAGTATTTTAAAAGGATTATAATCTATGACCATGTAGAATTTATTCCTGGAATGCAAGCATGGCTCTGTATACGAAAACTGATCAATGTAATACACTACATTAACAGAATAAAGGAAAAAACCCATAATCATCTCAACTGATGCCGAAAAAGCACAAGACAAAATTCAGTATCTTTCAAGATTAAAACACAAAAAAACTAGGAATGAACTTCAACTATTGGAAGAAAACTATCTTAACATAATAAAAGCTATACAGTAAAAACTGATAGCAAACATATTCAATGGTGAAAGACTGAAAGCTTTTCCTCTAAGATCAGGAAAAAGACAAGGATTCCTTCACTACTTCTATTCAACAGAATACTGGAAGTTACAGCCAGAGGAATTAGGCAAGGAAAAGAAATACAAGGCATCCATATTGGAAAGGAAGAGGTAAAAACTATCTCTGTTCACAGATGATATAATCTTATGTGTATAAAATCCTAAAAATTCCACCAAAAAACTTGTTATAACTAATGAGTAAATTTAGCAATGTATTAGGATACAAAGTCAACACACAAAAATCTGTTGCATTTCTATGATGCATTAACAATGAACAATCTGAAAAGGAAATTATGAAAACAATCCTATTTACAACAGTATCCAAAAGAATACCTAGAAATTAACCAAGGAGGTTTGTAAAAGACTTATATAATAAAAACTAAAAAACACTTGTGAAAGAAATTGAAGAAAACATAAACAAAAGGAAATACATTTCATGTTCATGGATTAGAAAACTTAACATTGTTAAGATGTTAATACTACTCAAAGTGATCTAATGATCTACAGATTCAGTGCAATCCCTATCAAAATCACATTATTTTGCAAAATAGAAAAACCTACCCTAAAGTTCATAAAGAATCTCAAGGAACCACAAAAAGCCTAAAGAATCTTAAAAAGAAAAAAAACCTAGGGGACTCACATTACCAGATTTCAAAACTTAATAAAAAGCCACAGTAATCAAAACAGTGTGGCACTGTTAGGAATAATATGTGGATAATGAAAGATATACAGAGACCAATGGAATAAAATATAGAGCCTAAAAATTAACCCTGGCATACATGGTCAAATGATTTTTGGACCAGGTGCCAAGACCATTCAATGGCGAAAGAGTCTTTTCAACAAATTGTGCTGGGAAAACAGGATTATCCTCATGCAAAGAATGAAGTTGAACCTTTACCTAATACCATATACAAAAATTACTCACAGTAGGTCAAAGACCTAAACATAAGACCTGAAACTATAAAACTCCTAAAAGGAAACATGTGGCAAAAGCTTCAAGACAATGAATTTTGTAATATTTTTTGATATGACACCAAAGGCATAGGCAATAAAAGAAAAAGTAGTCAAACTGGACTTAAAAATAAAAAATTTGTGCATTGGGACACCTGGGTGGCTCAGCTGGTTAAGCATCTGTCTGACTTTGGCTCAGGTCATAATCTCACAGTCCATGTGTTCAAGCCCTGCATTGGGAACCTGCTTCAGATTCTGTGTCTCCTTCTCTCTGCCCCTCCCCTGCTCATGCTGTCTCTCTTTCTCTCTCTCTCAAAAATAAACATTAAAAAAAAAATACAAAAAAATGTTGTGCATGAGAAGACATTGCCAACAGAGCTTAGGATTTTTCTCTCTTCCCCCTTCACCCTACCCCTCCCTCCCTCCCTCTCAAAAATAAACATTTACATTTACAAAGAGCTAGTAAGCCATAAAAAGATGCTCGCACCACTAATCTTTAAGAAAATGCATATCAAAACTACAATGAGATATCACTTCATATTCATTGAGATGGCTTCTATCAAAAAAGAAAACAAAAAATAACAAGCGTTGGTGACCATGTGGACAAACTGGAACACTGTGTACTATTGGTGGAAATGCAAAATGGTATAGTCACTATGGAAAACAGTATGATGCCTCCTCAAAACCTTAAAAATAGAATTACTATATGATCCAGCAATTCTACTTCTGGGTATATACTCAAAAGGACTTTGAGGCAGGGTCTTTAAGAGATATTTATATAACCATGTTCAAATAAATATAAAAATGTTCATGGCAGTAATACTCACTAGAGCTAATATGTGGAAGCAAACAAAATGCCTGTCAACAGATGAGTGGGTAAAATAAAATGTGATATACAAATGATGGAATTGTTTATTGTGCTGGGAAAACAGGATTATCCTCATGCAAAGAATGAAGCTGAACCTTTACCTAATACCACATACAAAAATTACTCACAGTAGGTCAAAGACCTAAACATAAGACCTAAAACAAGAAAAGAAAAGAAAAGAAAAGAAAAGAAAAGAAAAGAAAAGAAAAGAAAAGAAAAGAAAAGAAAGAGAAAAGCTAAAGAAAAATAAGCAGATAAAATAAAATGTGATATACAAATGATGGAATATTGTTCAGCATTTAAAAGGAAGGAAATTCTGACACATGCTAGGGTATCAATGAACCCTGAGGAAACTATGCTAAGTGCAATAAGCCAGTCAAAAAAGACAAATACTGTATGATTTATTTTGCCTAAGATAATTAGAGTCATCAAAATCACAGAGACAGAAAGTAGAACAGTAGTTGTCAGGGGTTGGGGAGGCAAATCCAGAGTTATTGTTTAATGGGTACAAAGTTTCAGTTTTATAAGATGTTAAGAGGTATGGAAATGGATGGTGGTGATGGTTACAAAATATCATAAATGTATTTGACACTACTGAACTGTGTACTTAAAAAATGGTTAGGGTGAAAAAAATGGTTATGATGGTAGATATTATATTCTATGATGTTATGTTCCTATGATAGTAGAAATTATGTATTTTAACATAATTCTAACTTTTTTTTAAACCATGGAGATAACTCCACTACCCCATCCTTTATACAAATCCACTAGAAGGGCAAAAATTTCACACTATGTTAATACAATAGCAATTTGACAATATCAATAAAAATTACCAGCTCTTATAAACACCTATAAATTTCATTTCAGAGAATTTAAGTTAAAAAATACTCACAAGAGCCAAACAGTGTCTAAAAAGTTATTCTTCACAACATTATTTACAGTAGCCCCAAACAAGAAACAACCCAAATTCTGACTAGTAGGGACAAGATGAATAAATGATGCTATCTCCATAAAATGAGAAACCAATCAGTTGTAAAAGCAAAGGAAAAGAATACTGTCATTGTAATGACATAGAAATGATCACTGAATTTTTTTTAACAGAAGTACAGCTGACCCACATTACTTTAGTTTCAGGTGTACAACATAGTGATTCAACAACTCTATGTGTTATGCTGTGCTCACCACAAGCGTAGCTACACATCTGTCACCGTACAACACTATTACAATACCAATGACTACCTTTTAACACCCATGCCTTATTCATTCCATAGCTGGAAGCCTATAACTCCCACTCCCCTTCACCTGTTCTGCCCATTCTTCCAGGCAGCCATCAGTTTGTTCTCTGTATTTCTGAGTCTGTCTCTGCTTTTTTAATCACTGCATTTTACATAATTTTATGTAATATAAAGGAAAAAAAGCAAGTTGAATGGATAATGTATATATTTTGATACTTTTTGTGAAGATAGAGGAATAAAATCCATTTATATCTGCTAGTGATACATACTAACTCTAGAAGGATACACTATAAACTGGTAACAGTAATTCCTGTATGTGTGTGGGAAGGGGATGTGAACTTGACATCTGGAAGATAATTCTTAGACATCTTTTACTATATATATAAACATAAACGGTGATTAATTAAAAAAGCATCCAAATATTACAAGGTCAGCATATAATTAACACATGATTTATTAATAAACAACAACTACAAAATTCTCTACACCTTACCTGCAAACTAGCCACGTAAGAATCTTCACAGTTTACATAGTGTCCTAACATGGCATGTTGTGCCCGTAATTCATTATCCCTTATCCTCTCGTGTAGGTGGCTAATTTGCTGCTTCTGCCTGGAAAACATAAATTGAGGTGACATTATAAAGAACAGGCTTTTCTAAGAGACCATTAAAAGTAGTGATTTCATGTAAGAGTTAAAAGTATTATCAACCTTAACATTCATAATAGCAAAATTTAAAAAAACATATCACCATACCATGGGTTATGCAGAATACAGAAAGGGTTTATTTATACTGTAGAAGACTTCTTGCATTTTATAAAATATAGTGTTTTGTAGACTATCTTCTTAGTAATAACAAAGTCATGTTTTGCTCCCTTTCTTCTTGTCACCTCATATAATAAATGTTATGTCCCCAGTTTAGAATGCCTTTACCTTAAAACCCATTATTTTCATCCATTCAAATTCTGTTTAACACTTAAATATCCCCTGACAGTACTGAGACTCTCACTGTCAGAGATGAAAGGTATTTTCATTAACATCAACTAGCCTAACTGCTGTTCTATGCCTGCGTCTTCTCAACAACATCCTAGGTTACAGAGTCTACACATAACCATCACCAAAGCTGGAGAACTCACTTGGTGACAGAACTGCATTTTTGGATAGCTCAGACGTTTCATTTTAACATAACTTCATGTTGGAAGCAGACACACGGAAGTTCAAATCTTTCCTCAGCAACTCATAGCTTACTTTAATCAAGTCATTTAACTTTTGTGAATATGTACCCTTATATACAGTTGATGCCTGAACAATGTGAGCGTTACAGGCACTGACCCTTCCTGCCCTGTCATGCAGTTAAAATTGGCATATAATATTTGACTCCCCAACAAGTTAACTACTAAAAGCCTGCTGTTGACTGGAAGCCCTACCAATAATGTAAACAGTTGATTAACACACATTTGTATGTTCTATGTATTATATACTATATTCTTATAATAAAGCTAGAGAACTGTTATTAAGAAAATCATAAGAAACAGAAAATATATTTACAGTATTGTATTTGCTCGAAAAAAAATCCACATGTAAGTGGACCTATGTAGTTCAAACCTGTGTTGTTCAGGGTCAACTGTGTTTGAAAGCTGTTACATAGCCAGTATCATGTTAAGAGCTTTATATGTGTTATTAATAATCTTCAAAAACCCCTTAATAACAAGTCTCATCATAAAGTTATGAGAAAGAAAGGATTTTAAGAAAAAGTAAGGATGCATGTGGGTAAGCAAATAGCTTGGCATTTTCCAAAATTACCCACAAAGTAACTTTTGGTGCAAGTTACGTTTTAAGTTTCAAACTGAATCAGAGATCTTATTCTACTCTGAGCCATTTAATTTTTTAGATATACTATTTTTAAAGAAAATTCAAATAGAAAACATCAAATAGTAAACAGATAGGGGCACCTGAGTGGCTCAGTCGGTTAAGCAACCGACTTTGGCTCAGGTCATGATCTTGCTGTTCGTGGGTTTGAGCCCCACCTCAGACTCTGTGCTAACAGCTCAGAGCCTGGAGCCTGCTTCGGATTCTGTGTCTCCCTCTCTGGCCCCTGACCTCGGCTCACACTCTGTCTCTCAAAAATAAATAAATGTTAAAAAAATACTAAACAGATAGGAGAGTCATGACACTTGTGAAAGAATTTCAAGCTTTACCAGGAAAACTAAACTTCCTTTTCTGGCCAAGAAAGAGTAACAGACACCAGCTGTGCCTTTCTACCTGACACAATTACAAAACAGAACAAAATACAGCGAACAATGACTCTCAAAACACTGAATATCAGTTAATCAGGAACAGTGACTTCTGGGAGATGGGCAAACAAATGAGGTGAGCTCTATGACTGCCAGAGCCTACTGCTGCAGGCCCCACCCAATACAGGGAAAGAAGCCTCTCTCTGAGCTGAAAAGACAATGCTGGAATGCTGGAGAAACCAAGGGATTCAGAGATCACAGTGCAGTCACCCTGAATATTTAGTTGAGTACTAATGAATAAATACATGAGGAACTACCTAAAGTGCATATGTGGGGGAGGATGGCGGGTGGTGGTCAACCAAAAAGATAAGAATGAACAGTGCCTGAGGCTTACACAGGTCCTATAAGTGTGCTTGTTTTCAAATGCCACAGTGGAAAACTTCATAATTCACAAGGCATCATTTAGCAGCAATTTTCAACAAAGATCAATTCTGACTCCACAACAAAGTTTCAGGAATACAAAAACATGTGACATCCAAAAAATGTTAAAATTTGTAATGCCTGGAACTTGATCAAAAATTACCAGGAACTGCAAAGCAGGAAAATATAACCTATATTTTTATTTTTTAAGTGTATTTGTTTATTTTGAGAGAGAGCATGGGAGAGAGGCAGAAAGAGAATGAGACAAACTCAAGCAGACTCTCCACTGTCAGCGCAGAGCCCAGATGTGGGGCTTGAACCCATGAACCACAAGGTCATGACCTGAGCATCACTGAGCTGTGGGATTTCTTTAAGAGTCAAATATATGTATTATTAGAATCCCTAAAGGGGGGTATAGGCAGGGAAAATATTTGTAGAAAACTGGCCAAAATGTTTCCAGAGTTAATGAGAACTATACATCCACAAATCTAAGAATATCAGTGAACCTCAAGCACAAATTACATGAAGAAAACTAAACCAAGGTACATTTTAATCAAATGGCTTAAAATCAGTGATAAAAATCTTAAAAGCAGGCTGTGAAAAAAAGATAAATTCATTCACAAAGACAAGGTAAAAAGGACAGCAGATGTCTCATCTAAAATAATACAAACAAGAAGACAATTTATTTATTTTGAGAGAGAGAAAGCAGGCAAGTGGGGAAGGGGCAGAGAGAGAGGAAGCTGGGGAGAAGGAGAAAGAGAGAGAGAGAGATACACTATGAATCCCACGCTGGCTCTACTATCAGTGCATAGCCCAACACAGGGCTGGATCTCATGAACCATGAGATCATGATCTGAGCCGAAATCAAAAGTCCAATACTTAAACAACTAAGCCATTCAGGCACCTTCCCCCTTTCTTTCAATGGGAAAAATAACCCCAAAAACTTTAAAGACACAAACTAGCAAATCTTATTTCTAAAACTATCTAGATCTAGAAGACTTATGATTGCCGATTATACTTTTTTTTAAGTGAAGTATAATTGACATATAACATTAGTTTCAAATGTATAAAAATGAGTATAACACATCAATGTGTTTATATTGTGAAATAATCACCTCAGTATATCTAGTTAATATCATCTGATTATATTTTTTGAACATTATTGATTTATGCAAGTTTTCCATTTCTTTTCAAGTCAATTTTGGTATTCCTTTAAAATTATTCATGTTCTTTTATGTGTTCAGATTTTTTGATATAAGTTTATAACACCGATTTAAAATCTTTATAATTTTTAATTACTAACATTTTGAGTCTTTCTTTTTCCTTGATTAGTAGAACTATAGATTTATCTATTTGATTAATTTCTGCTCTTATTTTTATTATTTCCTTTGTTCTCTTTTATGTTTACTATTCTTTTACTGGTCTTCTTAAGTTAAACAATTAATTCTCTTTCCTCCCTTGCTTCCTTCCTTTTCTCTCCTTTTCTTAATAAAAGAGAAAGACATGAGAAATGGCGATAATAGTCTAGCACAGATATTTTGCAGTCCTAGTAAAAATATAAAGAGAAAGCAATAGAATATTTGAAGAGATAAAGACCAAGAATTTTCCAAAACTGATGAAAAACATCAACTGGAATCAGAAGTACTTCAGTCTCCAAAAATACCAAATATGATGAAAACCACCATAGGCACACTATAGCAAAACTGCTGAGAACATAAAGAAAAAATAATTAATCCAAAAAAATAACAAAGAGTACATTCAATATGGCAGCAGGAAGATCTGTGGATGACTTAAGAGAAACCAGAGAGCAATAGAATAATATCCCAGAGTGCTGAAATAAAATACTGCCAATCAAGGCATTACATAACAACCAAAAATATCTTTTAAAAACAAAGGCGACATTCATAATAGACAAGAGATGAAAATACCCTCACTGTCCATCTATGGGTAAATAAAAAATTCATATATATATGTATATTCATATATATATACACAATGTCTAAAAACAGAAGAAAATTCTATCATATGCTACAGCATGGATGAACCTTGAGGATGTCATACTAGGTGCAATAAGCAGACACAAAAGGACAAATACTGCATCTTCCCACTTCTTCCCAGGATTTGACTGGGCTTAGGAGATGCTACCCCAAAATATGGCACTTTGGTATACTGAATGTTTTAAGCCAAAGGAGTTTGAGAAAATAACAAAAGCAAGGTCACTCTGGCCTCCTCCCCACCTTTGCCCTTCTTCCCTAAACAGGTCACAAAACACTCAAGTAGGACGTGCCCCCCACCCCCAAAACCCAGAGGAAAGGTGCATCCCCATCTCTGAAGATTCAAGGACCCAAAGAAGAATCCTACCAAGCATGCCTTGCTAAATTTCCCCCAGTTTAGTATACAATTACCTCATATTCCTTAACCTATCATATCCCTCCAAGACTATCCACTCTTCAACAAGCTTAGCATAAAATAATCAGGTCTGTCACTATGGGTCTTCACTTCCTTATAAAGGCTCCCATGTCACATAAAACTTGTATGAAATAAATTTGTATGCTTTTCCACTATTAATTATCTTTGTCGGTTTAATTTCCAGATCTAGCCAGGGAATCCTAAATGGTCAAGAAAAACTTTTTCCTCCCCTATAGTATCAAAAAAAAAAGTGGTCAAACTTATAGAAGCAGAAAGTATAATGATGGTTTCCATGGGCTGGGGTGAGGAAGACCTGAGGAGTTGTTGCTGAATGGGTACAGAGTTTCAGTCATGCAACCTGAAAAAGACCTGAACTCTACTGTAAAAAATTATGTATAAAACTAAAACTCTACTGCATACGTAAAGATGTGTTACAACAACACATTTCATGTTATGTGATTTTTTTTCTTCATGGTTAAAAAAAAAAGTGAGAGCTGGTACTCACTGAGTCCCAGTCCTTCCTTTTGCCAAGAATTGACTGAAACAGATG